TATGCTATATTTCTTCTTTTCTGACTGACTGATTTCACTCAACGTAATGTCTTCAATGTTCATCCATGTTATGCGGTGGCATTCAGCTTCTTTGTTATTCCTCAGGGTAGCATAATATTCCATTGTGTGTAAATACCAAAGTTTGTTTATCCATTCTTCCATAGATTGACACTTAGGCTGTCTCCATCTTTTTGCTATTGTAAATAGTGCTGCTATGAACATTGATGTGCATATATCTACTCACATTATGGCTCATATTTCTTGTGGGTAAATAATCAAGTAGAGGAATTGCTGAATCATAAAGTATCTCTATTTCTATCCTTTTGAGGAAGCACCATATTGTTTTCCAGAGTGGTTGGAACATTTTCCAATCCCACGAGCAAAAGAAAGTCACCAAGGCATGTAATAATCAAGCTATCTAAAATCAAAGACAAGCAGAGAATCCTAAAAGCAGCCAGGGAGAAGAGAAGTGACACTTACAAAGGCAAAGCAAATCAGATTAAGATCTGACTATTCAGCACAAGCCATGCAGGCACGAAGGCAATGGGGATACATATACAAAACCCTAAAAGAAAAAAAAAAACTGCAAACCAAGAATCCTTTATCCAGCAAAGCAATCAATCATTCCCCTTCCTCTTCTTTTGTATTGCCCCCCTCCCTAGCACCCAAACTATCCTGTGTCTATTCTCTGCCCTGTGCTCCACTATCCCCTCATTCACATCACACCACTACTAAGTCCCAGTAACCAGAAAAGAACTCCCACCCCCCTTTAGTATGGGTTATTTTCTTAGTCTTTTACAGTAGTGGTCCCATGCAGTATTTCTCTTTTTGTGACTGACTAATTTCACTCAACATAATAACCTCAAGGTTCATCCATGTTTTGCGGTGGCTTGCCACTTCCTTTTGTTATTCTTCAAGGTAGCATAATATTCCATTATGCGTATATATGAGTTTGTCCATTCTTCAGTTGATGGACACTTACGCTGTCTCCATCTTTTTGCTATTGTAAATAGTGCTGCTACGAACATTGGTGTGCATATATCTACTGGTGTTATGGCTTGTATTTCTTGTGGATAAATACCAAGTAGAGGAATTACTGAATCATAAAGTATTTCTATTTCCAGCCTTCTGAGGAAGTGCCATATTGCTTTCCAGAGAGGTTGGACCAATTTTCAGTCCCACCAACAATGCAGGAGTGTCCCAGTCTCTCCACATCCCCACCAGCATTTATTATCCTTTACTTTTTTGATCTTTACTGTTATTGCTGGTGTGAGATGATATCTCATTGTTGTTTTGATTTGTATCTCTCTAATGGCTAGTGACGGAGCTCTGGTAGCATAGTGGTTATGAATCGGGCTGCTAACCTCAAGGTCAGCAGTTCGAAACTACCACAGAAAGATGAGGCTTTCTGCTCGCATAAAGATTTACAGCCTTGGACACCTGTGCAGAGTCATTATGAGTTGGGACCAACTCCACGGTACTTATAACAACAACAAATGGCTAGTGATCATGAACATTTCTTCATATGTTTGTTGGCTGACACTTCCTACTTGGTGACGTGTCTATTCATGTCCTGTGCCCATTTTTTAATTGCGTTATTTGTCCATTTCTTCTATAAGTGTTGTTGTTGTTGTTAAGTGTCATCGAGTCAGTTCCAACCCATAGCGACCCTGAACAGGGTTTCTGAGACTGTAAATCTTTACGGGAGCAGAAGCCTCATCTTTCTCCCTCGGAACAGCTGGTAGTTTCAAACTGCTGCCCTTGAGGTTCACAGCCCGATTTGTAACCACTATGCTACCAGAGCTCCTTGGGTTCCTATATATTTTGGAAATTAGTCCCTTGTCTGATATGTCATTGCAAAAGATTGTTTCCCATTCTGTGGGCTCCATTGTTATTCTTTTGATGAAGTATTTTGATACACATAAGTTTTTAATTTTTAAAAACATTGATCTAGTTTGTCTGTTTTTGTTTCTGTACATTTCAAAATATTTGGTAGTCTGTGTATGCCCTCTATTAGAGCTCTCACATTTGTTCCTATTTTTTCATTGATGGCCTTTGTAATTCTGGGATTCACATTTCAGTCTTTAATCCATGCTGAGTTGGTTTTTGTGTAAGGTGTGAGGTAAAGGTCTTGTTTCAGTCTTTTGAATATCGCTTTCCAATTCTGCCAGCACCATCTGTTGAAGAGAGCATCTCCTACTCATGCAATATACTTAGGTACTTTCTCGGAAATCAATTGGCTATATGTGGACGGGTTAATTTCTGGATTCTCGATTCTGTTCCATTGATCAATGTATCTTCCTTTGTACCAGTACCAGACTGTTTTGACCACGGTAGCCATGTAGTAAAATTTGAAATCAGAGAGTGAGAGGCTTCCCACCTTGTTCTTTTCTTAAGCAGTGCTTTGCTTATCCTGGATATCTTTCTATTCCATATCAAGTTTGTAATTGATTTTTCCATGTCTTTGAAGAATGTCATTGGACTCTAGATTGGGATTGCATTATATGTGTAAATTGCTTAGGGCAGTATTGACATTTTCATAATGTTAAGGCTTCCTATCCAGGAAAATGGTATGTTCTTTCATTTTTGTAAGTCTCTTTTGGTTTCTTGTAGTAGTGTTCTGAAGTTTTCTTTGTATAAGTCCTTTGTTTCTCTGGTTACATTTATTCCTAGATATTTCATTCTTTGGGAGCTATTTTAAATGGTATTGTTTTTCTAAGGTCCTTTTCAGCACTGTCGTTATTGGTATAGAGGAATTCAGCTGATTTTTATATGTTGATCTTATACCCTGCCACTTTGCTGAATCCTCCAATGAGGTCTAGTAGCTTTTTACTGAGTCTTTGGGGTTGTCTATATATAGGATCATATTGTGTACAAATAGAGAGAGTTTTGCTACCTCTTTGCAATTCAGATGCCCTTGGTTTCCCTATCTTGCAGTATATTTCTGGCTAAATCCTCCAGAACAATATTGAACAGGAGTGGTTACAAAGGGCATCCTTGTCTGGTTCCTGTTTGTAGAGGGAAAGCTTTCAGTTTCCCTCCATTGAGAATAATGTAGACTGTTGATTTTGTATATATGCTCTTGATTATGTTGAGGAATTTACCTTCAATTCCTACTTTGTTGAATATTTTTATCAGGAATGGATGTTGAATTTTGTAAAATTCCTGTTCTGCATCAATCGATATCATTTTTTTTTTCTTGTTTACATGGTGGATTACATTGATTGTTTTTCTAGTGTTGACCCATCCTTGCATCCCTGATACAAAACTCACTTGGTCATGATGTATTATTTTTATGATGTGCTGCTGGATTCTGTTGGCTAGGATTTTGTTGAGAATTTTTGAGTCTTTGTTCATGAGGGATATTGGTCTATAATTTTCTTTCTTAGTGATATCCTTCCCTGGTTTTGGTATGAGGATTACACTTACTTCATAAAATATATTAGACAGTTTTCCATCCTCCTCTATATTCTGGAATAATTTGAGTAGAATTGGTGACAACTCTTCCCTGAATGTCTTATAGAACTCACCAATGAAGCCATCTGGACCTGGACTTTTGGTTGGGAGTTTTTTGATGACCTGATCAATTTCTTCTATTGTTATGGTTTTATTCAAGTCTTCTGCTTTACTCTGTGTTAGCTTAGGTAGGTCGCGTTTTTCTAAAGATGTATCCATCACTTTTAAGTTTTCAAATTTGTTGCAGTATAACTCTTCATAGTATTCTGTTACTATCCTTTTGATTTCCTTTGGTTCTGTTGTGACATTACCTATGTGGTTTCTAATGCATCTTATTTGTGTCTTCTCCCTCTTTTGTTTTGTCAGGTTTTCCAATGGTCTGCCAGTTTTATTAATTCTTTCAAATAACCAGCTTCTTGTCAAACAAAAGCAAACAACTGTTTTTTCAAAATTTTACAAGCAAAAAATAATCTGGGAGTGCAAGGACTTTGAACAGCAGAGCAGAATGTACCTGGATTTGAGGGAATCCACAAGGCAGCCAGCCTTCTTTATTGCCTTGGATTGTAGCATAGCTGGCACTAATCAGACCAAGGGTTCAATCACTTCTACTCTGTCACTCTTTTTCTGTTGAAAACAGAGCACATACTCATGTATAATGGTGAATCAAAAATTATCTGTGCTCTGTCTGTAGAAGTTTTACTCAACTTTTAGACAAGAAAAATACATCATTTTTCAACAAAATCTCCATGCTTTTCAATACACTTTATCTACATGTCAACAAGTTTCATATTCCTTTATTTAAAAATGTTTTGGGCTGAGTTTTGAGCACGAATGCACTTCTGTCTTCACTTCTTTAGCAAAGGTGAATCTCCGTCCTCCAAGGCCTGATTTCAGGGGACCAAACAGGTGAAAGTTCAATGGAGCAAGATCAGAACTACAGAGATGATGCTTTAACGTCTCAAAATGAAGTTTTTACTGAATGCCAACAGAGTCGGCAGAGGTGTGAGGACATGCATTGCCATGCAAGATCACAATGCCCTTGGATAGCAGTCCTCTGTGTTTATTCTGCAGTTTAGGTTTCAGTTCTTCAATGATCATTTCACTGTAACAAGGACTGTTGATTGTTTAACCTTTTTCCTGAAAGTGTTCCATTACTGGTCCTTGAAAATCCCAGAGAACTATAATAACTTTCAAACTGTTGGTTAATTTTGGAACTTTTTCTTGGTTGGTGATTGAGGATGTGTCCATTCCATATTCTGCTGTTTACTCTCAGGCTCATAGTGATGAGTCCACGTCTCATCACCAATAATTAATTCCTTAAGAAATTTTTACCTTCCTTTGAGTATCATTCCAAAGTTTGTTTGCCGATGTCCAAAAGTTTATGTTGTTTTGGTACTCATCTCGCACAAAATTTTTGAAACCCCAAAGCCATGGCTGGCTTGCAGATGATTTACCACATAATCTATCAACTGTTATTCATCTACTTAACAGAATCATTTCATGCTCTTATTCAATGTTGTTGTCAGCTGTGGATGGGCATTTTAATATAACCAGAGTGAGGATAATTGTTGATTCAATCTTGTGTTAAAAAGTAGACTAATAACCTTAATAATTTAATGCTGAAGACTTCCAGTTGGTGGCGGTAGAGCAGAGTCAAGTAGGGCAGGCTCCGTGGGTAAGGGGCTGAAAACCCAGGGACGTAGGTCTCAATGAAACTACACTAGAGCTCTGGATCTATCATAAGGGTCTGGGTATCAGTTGCCCACAAATACAAGTGAAAAAACCATGGTATAAAGGAAAACATTGCATTTAGAAATTCGCACAGGGCTCCCTCTGCGGCCATCCTGCCAGGGCAGAAGTCAGAGGGCAGGACTGCAGACAGACCAGCAAAGGGAACCTGCACTAAAAGCAGGGAAGCGACATTTGTGAAAGGAGGTGTGGAGGCAGTTTACATGTTTTTTTTTCCCTCTTCTTCCCTGTCATGCCTTTTTTGTCCAGCCCAGATGCCTTCAGGCGGGTAGGTGTGCACCCCACAAAAAAGTCCAGCATTGAGACCACAGCTTTCCCACAACATAGAGAGAAAGAGCCCTATCATCATGGGACTCCCTCTGCGGCCATCCCACCTGGGCGGAAGTCAGAGGGCGGGACTACAGACAGACCAGCAAAGGGAACCTGTGCTAAAAGCAGGGAAGTGGCATTTGTGAAAGGAGATGTGGAGGCAATTTACACATTTTTTTTTTCCCCTCCTCTTCCCTGTCATGCCCTCTTTGCCCAGCCTGGATGCCTTCAGGTGGGTGGGTACACACACCCCAAAAAGAATCCGGCATTGAGACCACAGATTTCTCTTGGCAAAGAGAGAAAGCTCCATCAGTCCAAGGGTAAATCCTTTAGTTGCATTGGCTTTTGACTTCTGCCTGTGGGTCCCAGCCCTAAAGTTAACTTGTGTGGGACAGTTAACCCCTGTCTACCCAGAAAGGAAAAAGAAAAAAAAAAAAAAAAAAGGTTTGGTCTGACAGACAAAGCATATGAACAATCTGTAAAACCCCAACATAAAAAGATTCAACTATTTCAAGAATTACATTGTGTGCACACAGATACTTAAGTGACCTTAAGAGACAAAAATAGTGGACAATCTTTCTTCCACTAACTTCTCAATATCTATCTGTGCACCTCTACGGTAGTGACTAGGGGAGGGGCCTGAGCGAGAGGACACCCCAAGCCACTACTGGAGCCTTCTATGGCACACACACATAAATTTTATTTTTGTTTCAAAGTGGAAGTTCTTGTGTCTGCTTTTATATTACTTCTACTTTTGGACCCTTTGACCACACATTATTCCTGGAGGTGGGAGCTGTTTCTCCCTATGTTACCCAAGAAGAGACAGCAATCTTGGCCATATAGCCAAGCTACAAGCATACCCCATAATATTCCACCATTGAGACAAGAGCCAATAACAGCTGCAAAACATTGCATGAGAAAAGGGAAGCCTATCTTCTGATCATATCCACCAGGAGACACTCAGTAAGCTTAATAACATAACAACAAACATCCACTTAAGCATTAAAAAACTGCATAACTATTGGAAACGACTAAAAAAACACAACAAAAGATATCAAAACATGTCCAAAACCTGAAAAGAGTAGCTGAGACAAAGGAGCTAGAGAGAGACAAAGGCTTTCTAGAAGAGGAAGAGCAAGTTTTGTATATGCCTAAGAAAGAATTCATAAGAATGATATGGAAACAAATTCAAATGCTCTGAAAAGGGATGGAAGAAAACAATGAAGTCAGGGAAGTACTACAAGAACAAACTAATAAGATTGGTACAGCATTGGGAGCAATTTAAAAATGTGCAAAAAGAGGCCCAGATGATTAATAATAAAATATCAGAAATGGACAATACATTGAAAGGGGAAAGGAGCAGAACAGAAGAGATGGAAGCCAGAACTAACGAGCTGGAAGACAAATCTCGCAATACTGCTAAGATAGAAGAGCAAGCAGAAAAAAATGATTTTTAAAAATCTGAAGATAGTCTAAGATTCATGCTGGATAGCATGAAGAGGAGCAACTTAAGAATTATTGGCATTCTGGAACAGGAAGAATCAGAGAAGTCCACAGAGGAGATAGTTGAAGAGCTTCTGGAAGAAAATTTCCCTAACATCTTGAAAGATGAGAAGATAAACATTCAATAATTCAAATGTATGCCAGTAAGGATAGACCCCAAAAGAAAGTCACCAAGAAATATCATAATCAAGCTCTCCAAAATCAAAGACAAGTAGAGACTACTATAAGCAGCCAGGGAGAAGAGAAGTGTCACTTATAAAGGGTAGCAAATCAGATTAAGGTATGACTATTAATCAGAAACCATGCAGACAAGAAGTCATTGGGCAAACATATATAAAACCCTACAAGAAATAAAACTGCCAACCAAAACTATTATATACATTATATATAACTATATATTATAAACTATATATCCAGCAAAACTATTAATCAAATACGATTGTGCAATCAAAACATTCCAGGATAAACAGAATCTGAGAGATTTCTTCAAAACCAATCCAGCACCGCAAAACATCCTAAAAGGAGTTCTTTGGACTGAAAATCAACAAGAACAGACAGCAACCAGAGATTGACAGGTGGGGCAAAACCACCTGGAACTCAATCGACAGATAGCAGAGTCCAGAACAGAACAAGACTACAAAAACAAATTCAAAGGAGCTGGGAGGTCAACTGAAGATCAAAATTATATCAATGTCAAAGAAGGGATAAATGCAGCAACAGAGAACCAGATGGTGAGGATGTCCAATAGATTACAGGATACAATAGATTCTCTTAAATGGAGAGAAGAGTTAGTAAACTATAAGGTAACCTCCCTCCCCCAAGTTAATACTTCACAACTTACTGTGAAAATGAACTTCCAAGCAGAACAAGCAAACATGAAAACTATGAAGAAACTGACAAGAAATAGCACAAAAAACACAAACTCAGCACAAGAAGGCATGCAGAACAAAGGAACGAACAGCAGCACTACCAAAAAAGTAACATAATGGCAGCAATTAATTCATACCTATTGATAATTACATTGTATGTCAATGGATTGAATGCACCAGTGAAGAGACACAGGGTGGCAGAATGGATAAGAAAACATGACCCTTCAATATGCTGCCTGCAAGAGACACATCTTACACACAAAGAAAAAAACAGACTAAAAATTAAAGGATGGGAAAAAATATACCAAGCTAATTGCACCAATAAAACAAGCAAGAGTGGCAATACTAATCTCCGATAAAGTAAACTTTAAGATAAAAACGA